AGCGCTCAACCACTGTGCCACCAGGGAGGCCCAAGTGTAGTACTTTTTCTACATTGACCCTACTGTCAAGGCCTCACAGGCAGTAAACTTACAGGGGAAACCAACAATGTTAGGTCTCAGCTAAAGAATCTTTGCTTGGAATAAATGTGTCCTGGGAGCTTGTAAAATTTTCATGGAGAGCAGTGAAACCACAACAAATGAGAAAAAATTTGGTTCAAGTTATAGTAATATTTACTTAAGCAAACATTTATTTAACCAAAGGGGGGGGGGAATGGTAATAAGGATGAAATTAAATAAACCTTTCTACTTCTGTGATTAGTAAGTAGATTTGGGTGTACAGTAAAGTCTTTCAATGGTGCTGTTATGAAAATCTCTGAAATGCTTTTCAAGATTTGTTGTCCAAATCTTTAAAAATAACAATAATCACTGAGATATTTCCTTTATCTAGTACCCAACATAGGATGTAATAGCTAAGTGAAGTGAAGAAGCAAAGTACTTTAGCTATTATTAAATGGCTTAAGAGCTTTAAAGAATGAAGAATATCATGGAATGAAAAGTGAAAACATAGGCAGAAAAAAACCCTAAACCTGCAGTGCACTAATTCCACTTTTCTACAAGGTACAAAGCATGTGGCTTTCCACTCACAGATGCTATAAACACATCTGCCGAATGGCGCGAGTCTGCGAAACAGGCAGGGGCAGGTATGTGCTGGAAAGATCTGAAGACTTGATGGAGAGAAGTGGGTGGGAGTAAAAAGGGAGGAGTGAGGCAAAGTAGGACAAGGCAGAGGGGCCCTGAGGGCAGAAGGGAGACTCTGGGCTGGAAGCAGGAAGACTCACTGGAACAAGGAGGTGGGAGGAGGCGGAGAAAGTAGGCCTGGGGATATGGTTAAAATACAGCAACAGATCATTGAGACACAACCCCCAAGTCTGTTGGGCAAAAGTAAGGTGGTGCATTAAGAAGCAAGAGGGTCTCCAGGCAAAAGTTTCAGAAAGGACAGGAAGATGAAAGAAGACATTTAGCAAAGGAGGCAGAGGTAAAAGGCATCCAGAGAGAGGAAACAGATTTATGGGTAGAGACACAGGCTGCCAGCAACCTGCAGGAGCCGACTTCCCCTGTGTTAAGTTATTCTAGCGGGAACAGCAGTGAACACCTATTACGGTCTATTTTGGGACAAATACACCCAGAGGTGGGGTTACCTGCGCTCCCCCAGGACCTCTTTGCACTCCCGGACCCAGGCCCATCCGGAGAAAAATCCCAGAATGCTGGGTGATTTGTCTGTAGCACAAAGGCAGGGGTCATGGAAGGATTCTGATAACCATGGAGCACAGCAAGGATACGAGACAAAAAGGATACAGACCAGCCACAACCGTGAGGAAAGAAGCACATGTCAAATCTGGATGTTAGATACATCCTAAATCAAGAGGTTCCTAACTGGAAGTTGTGATAACTGGGAGGATTTTACAATTGGTCTGGTTACTTTCCTGTCAAACATCTGTCATCATTTAAAAACTCTACCTGAGGCAACATAGGGGGCTCTTAATAAACCATGGCACTAATTTATTAAAAAGTATGTCCACATCTAATGTATTTCCAAGGACTTTTTAATGACATGTTATAGACTTTGAGTCATTAGGTTAATTCCATACAATTCAATCATTCACTGAGGGACTTCCAAGTGCAAGAGGTCTTGTGGGTGTGGGGGGGGGGTGATGGATGTGCAAAGAAAAGCAAAGCAACCTGCCTTCCAGAGGTCTGGTCAGTTCATCTTAGTTTCCATATCAGATTGGGAGAGATGCATCTCCTTTCACAAGTGTAGTGAGAAAGCAACCTTCGCATTATAGCACTAATCTACAACTTGGGAAATACACTTCCCAGGAAGAGATTCAATAGCACAACAACAAATGAAGGAACTTCTTAATGCCTGGTGACTTGCAGACACTTGGCCTGTGCAAATCTGGGGAGGTCCATCCTCCCCAGTTTACATCCAGCATTTGTCATAATTGCATAACCACAGCCAGTCAAGTTGTTTCTTGTTGCAACTGTAACTTGTAAACTTAAACTTCAGAACTGAGATAGTCAAGCTAAATAATTGCCTACTTTAAAAATATGTATCTACATAATTTATATGCCACTTCAGATAAGCTCTTAAATTACCATCTCTTAAAGTCATAACTGTCACTGATTTTTAAAATACCATCTCAAGGTCCCAATTCTCCCAGTACACAGGCCTGTCCCTATCTCCTCAGTTTTCTCAGCAATATTTTAGACCAGCATTTTAATTGGTCTATTGCATTGTGTTTCCCATGTTTTAATAAGAAGCTAATTAATACAACTTTTACTTCTCCCAGGTTATGGGACTTCTCAAATTCCAAAGAAGGGACCATCGAAGGGCCCCATGTGCACCTGTTTGCGCCTCGTGTGGCTCAGGTTGTGCGGATAAGTTCAAGTGAAGCTGGTGATACTTCCCACTCGTAGGAGGACTCCCTGCCATGAGTCTCCTGCCAGATCCTGCCCCAGTGGGAGGTGCTATGACACTTGCTCTCCCAGCCCAAGGAGCCCCATTCAGTGGGAGGGGACCACTGGAGCAGCTACTCAGGATGTGACCGTCAAGGTTGCCTGGTGGAAAATCCAATAAGGTGCTGAGCACCATCAGCCTGGAAATGTCACGGTGGGGCCAACCATTCCTTCCTTCCTCCCTGGCAGGGTTTCTGAATCAGTCAAAACAAAAAGTATCAATTCATGAACAAGCTCTTGATTTAAATCCAGTGAGTCTTTACCATGCATAACTCACTTCAGACAGAATGGCCTGCTCATTCCCAGAAATTCATGTTAGATGTTAAAGTGAGATGGGGGCAGGGGAGAGCCAGTGAGATGGTGAAGAGGAAATTACTAGCCAAGAAAACAAAATTACCCATTCTCTTCACCAGTGAAAGTGCCTCAGTGATGAAGAAGAAAATGAGAACCTCGGGGACCCTTTGGGATGGACTTTTAACATTGGCTCTAAGACCACCCTACCAACCAAGACCATTTTTCTTGGGAAATATAACTGAAGAGAGACAGGCTTGACAAGAGAAGCACCCTCCTTCTCTTAAGGCACCTACTTATCCAAGCGCTGAGTTCTTGTCTTTGTTGCTTTTCCTAGTGGGCCTCCAGGGCTCTCTGAATACCCCCTCCAGGCTGATAAAGCAAGGAACATTAGAGATATTACAAATTGCTGCTTTTGGGGGGGGGGGCCTGTGGGGTGGTGTATAAATCACTATCCTTACTTGATTTAATGCAGATCCATACATCAGAATATACTCAGTAGTCCTATCACCAGCACTTCTTACTTTTTAAGAAGCAAAACCATAACAAGAGATCCAGTCTACATTAATTTTTATGTCTGATTAACCGCATCTCCAAATAGCCAGTACAGAATATGTTCTACTAGTGGTACAATCCAATTCTAAAGTACAATAAAGAGAGAGAAAATTTCCAAATGAAGCATTCAAAGACCCACCAGAAACATCATTTTCTAACTGCCCACTCCCTCCCCACCCAGGAAAGAGTACTAAAGTAGCCTAGGCCCACTCTACCCACAATTTTTTCTACCCTGGTACATCCCGATTCTACCAAGCTGAAAGGTTACCCTCATTAGGGAGAATGTGAGTCCACTCCTGGAGCAAGGAGGCGCTCATAACATCTGTCTATGCAATGGATGTGTCACTTCTCAAGAGTCCATACTATTTCCTTACAAGAAAACAAAAGTACTACATGGAATCTATGGTGTGTCAGCCCCTCCCAAGGTCTGACTCAGAGCATGTGTCTGTCTTTACAGAGGTTCTGGGTGACGGGAGTGGATCACTTTCAGAGTTGCTCCAATCGCTGAACTTATGGCTGTCTTCCAGTCACCCCAGCATAAGCACTCTCTATTTTAAAACAATTTTCCTAACCCACATGCAATGGAAGATATCTCAAACATAAGTCGCCAAATTCCTCCTGGAAACAAATCACTTCCATCTCAAACTGTGCTTGTCATCTCAGGATTAATGCGTGTTTATGTGTATATATTTTTATCTTTGACCATGCAACTCTTGGCGCAAAAGAAGCCACCCTGTATTTTTACTAACGTGCCTGAGCCAATCTGGAGCTCTAGAAAAGGAATGAATGGGAGATGGCAGCTCTTAAGCCCAGGGACTTGTCTCACACAAACAGAAAGTGCAAAGAAAAAAAGAAAAAAAAAAAAAAAAAAAAGAATCCCTCCGTGGAGGGAGGGGGCAGGGAGGCTGATCAAGGAAGGACATTAACCAGCAAACCAAAGGCAGTGGCCGCACTTCGCGAACTGCCTGCAGAGGGGAGTGAAATCTTTTCCGTGTGCAATAACTAAGCACCCTCTGGCTGCCGGGCATGGGCACGAATGATAAATAACATCGAGGTGTGCAAACAGATGCACCTAAACAAGCCACCCCCCAAAGGTCAAAACTTCGGAAACCCGGGGGAATCACAGCACCCACACAAACACATCCATCCGTCGGAGCGGGAGAAGGGACTTGGAGACTTAGCAAAGGATTCTGAATTTCGTGTTTTCTTTCAAGCTCTGGCTTGCAAAGTACGGTGGCTACATGCAAAACCAGAGAGGAGCAGGCAGGCTGAGCACCGCGGGGGCTGCGGGTGGGAAGGGAGGGGTGTCTTAACACCAGCCACCCAGGCCTCTGTGTGACGAAAGTCGTCAGCAGCCTCAACCGCAGCCCAGTCCCTCCGCCCCGGCCAACAGACGCCCCCTGCGGCTCCCCCACCCCAGCTTCCGTCCCCGGCAGCCCCGCCAGCCCCGCACCCGCAGCAGCAGCAGCAGCCCCGCCAGCCCCGCGCCAGCAGCGCCGCCACCGCGGCTCCCATCCCCTCCGCGCGGCAGACACCCCGCAGGCCTCCTCCCAGCCCGCCAGGCGCGCCGGGAGCCGATCCCCGGAGAGCCGCGCCACCAAGTCCCCCCGCCCCGGGGGGCGACGGCTCCCGCTTACCTCGCTCGCGGGGGGGCTGAAGGTGGCCAGCCTCCCGCCCCCCGCCCTGTCCTCCGCGCCGGGCTTCTTCCTCCCTCCGCCTCCTCTTCCTCCTCCTCCCCACGAGGTGTCGGGGTCGCCCCCTCCTCCCGGCGCCTGGGAGTGGAAACCCAGCGCCCCGCAGCCCGGCCCGCGTGCGTGCGTGCGGGAGGCGGCGGCGCGCGGCCAGCTCTCCAGTCACTGAGCGCGGCGCGCGGCTCCAACTAAAGTGTGAAAGAAGCGACGGCCGCGGCGGCTGTGCCACGGAACGTCCCCCCGGGAGTGGGCAGGGAGCGCGCGGGAGCTGGCGGGGAGCGGGCGAGGGAGGGGACCTGGGAGGAGGCGGGTAGGGAGGGGTGCTCCTCGCCCAGTCGCTCACTCGAGGGGCGGGGGCAGCCAGACACTCCCCCACGCCGGCCCTCCCCGCGCCGGCTCCCGCGCGCGCGGCGCTCCCCTCCCCCGGGGAGGGCCTGCGAGGCCGCCCGGGCTCCGCGCCCCGGGAAGGAAGACCCGGCGGGCGGAGCCGGGGGCTGTGGGGGCTGCCGGAGCTGCCGGAGGAAAGGCGGCCGGGAATCGCGACGGCGTACGCGTGTGTGTGTGTGTGTGTGTGTGTGTGTGTGTGTGTGTGCGCGCGCGCGCGCACCCGGCGCCGGCGGACCCGCGGGAGGGCAGACCCGGCGGGAAGGCTGCGCCCTGGGCCTGTCACCGGGGCGGTGGCGTGCGATCGGCTCCTCGGGCGGGCCCGGCTCTGCGGAGACCTGGGCCAGCCTTGGGCCCCCGCCGCGCGACTGCGTCTGCAGACCGAGGGCAGGCCGGGCATCCTCGGCGCCAGGGCCGCCCCTCCCTGTTGGACCGGCGGGCGCAGCCCCGGGCCCGCCCCTCCGCCAAACTGCCTCCGCCCTGCCCCGGAGTCGCGGCGCCCACAAGATGAATGAAGCCCGGGCGACTCTGCGGAAGCATCCCCCCGGGAAAGACACCAGCGCGCCGCGCCCCGAGACTCGGCGCCCGGAGCCCCCTCCCGGCTCTGCCCGGCCGCCTGGGACCCAGCGGCAGCGATCGCGCCCCTGGGCGCGTCTGGGATGTTGGGTCCAGAAAGAGCGCCGCCCACCTCTTTATCTGTTCAGTTTGTTGTGGACCCTCACGAGGGGTCACCCGTTTCCCACCCTTTGGGAGAAGACATTTTTCTCCACTTCACGGTTATGGGAGGTGTTTGGTGTGCGCACTGAATAGATGTTTCTACAGTGATAGCGGTTGGGTGTCTTTTGTGAGGCTTCCCCGCGCTTGGTTGCTCCTGCATTGCCAGAAACACTGCAAGGAATGTCCGAGTGAGAACACCCAAGAAAACAATAGGGGCAAGGCTGCTCCCCGGGTCCCGCGGATGACTCACAAACCGAGTCATTTCTCACTTTTGGCAAAGATGAAGTTGAGAAATAGAAGGAGGTGTATCCCAGCTGTGACAGTGATGAGACATTGAATTGAATACTGAATTCATGGTTCGGTTTAATGAGTTAATACCTATCCGTAATGGCCAAGAATCAAGCCTTTATGAAAAGTGGTTTTCGAGAGCTCTCCCATTTGCAATGCAAAAGGCTGGTACATTGTTTTTGACACTCACTTGCATTCCATTCTTAAATTACCCATTTTCTAGTTCCTTTTTTCTCTTTAGGAACCAGTAGTCTTTGTAGTCTAGCCTCCTGAAAAGGACTGGTTAAACAAGAGGGGTAGGAAAAGTCGGGTTCCAATCAGGCACGGCCAGCCTCCTTCCTTAGTACCTTAGGCAGGGGGCTTGATTTCTTTACGTTCCTTTCCTTGGCTGTAAAAAGGGATTGATGGTAATAACTCTTACCTCATAAGCCTGTTGTGAAAGTAAAAGGAAACTAAAATGAGGTCGAAATATGAGTAAAACATTTTGTATAATGCCTGACAAATGGTAAGAGCTCAATAAATATGAGCTATTATTTCAAATAGATCGTTTAGCCCCAAATTTGGTTGATTGTTTTTCTCTCTTGCCTTCCTTCTTAAATTTGGGGGTAGGAGATTCATCTGCTGGGTTTATCCAAATGTAATCAACCCTTCTCTAGGTTTTTAGGCTATGCCTGCAAACTTCTATGAGACAGGAAAGGAAGTATGTAACTAAGGGGGGGGGGTGTGTGCGAGTGTTTACACATTTATGTCTGTACACAGATAGGCCCATGCACAGATAGGCCTATCCTACAGCAAGGGATCCTGAGGACAAGAAGCTTTTGTCTTTTCCCTCAATCCTTCCCTAGTCTACACAGGCTACTCTGAAGAGACCAAGCTCTGTAAATGTTGACGTGTGCTGTACTCTGTCCCTTCAGGCCAGTGTAGTGACAGGCACTGTACATTTCTTGATGGCAAGAGAATGTGGGTCTCCTTTCGATGTGGTATCCTTGGAACTAACAGATGGTTACAGAGCAAGCCCTGCCTATGTGTAAATGAAAAGACATCCAGACAATGAACTTTTACAGCAAGTTTTTCATTATTCAAAGTAGTACATGTTCAGTGTAGAAAATTTAGAAATTTGCAAAACTCAGCTAGATAGGAAGAAAATAAAAGTCATAATTCTACTATCCAGAGATAAGTTTTCATAAGTGCTTCTTGTATATCTATTTTCTCTTCATTTATTTCATTATGAATCATGCAATCAGCAAACATTAAGTATTAATTTATTGGAAACTAGACAATGCCGCAGGGCCAAGAACAGATTGTATGTTTTTGTAAGTATTCTTTGTTTCTCAGTGGAAACCACTCCCGAGTGCTATATTTTTATATGGTGGGGAGACTCAGGTTAGCCTTCAGCAAACACTGTGGAAGAATGTGGGATGGGGGAAGCAGATAGGATGGGACCCTGAAGTGCTGGGGAGACCCAGTAGGTGTGGGGGAGACCCAGTAGGGGTTGGGATGCACCACAAACCATGTAGTTGTCTGCAAATCTGTTTGGTCAGCACCAGTTAAATCTATAAGCTATTTTATTGAATAACAATTTAGCTATTCCTAATTACCAAGATGGCTATCAGCATACTTCTTATAAAAAAAAAAGAGTGCATGCTTCTTATAAAAAAAAGCGCAAAACATGAGATTCCCCTACGTAACAAGTAATAAAACTATCATTTCTTTGCCCTTCTGCCTCATCAAAATCTCTGAATTCTGTACTCTGAGAGTATTCTTCAAATACTCTCAATAAAATTTTCAAAAAAAGATTTTTTTTTTTGCCCAGAAAAGTTAAATTTTTATCTTCAAAGTCACTGTTATTATAATTACATTTCTCTTATTCTCAAAGCTTTAACTTACAAGTACTTGACTTTACAGGATCATTCATAATACATAAGCTTGATTTTTAAAAATTTTCTCTTAAGTAGAGTATTATGGATTGAATGTTTGTGTCTCCCAAAATTCATATTTGAAGCTCCATACCTCAGTGCCAATAGTTTTCCGAAATAGAACTTTAGGAGGAGTAGGGAAGGAGGGTCCTTAGGGTGGGATTAGGGCCTTTTTAAGAAGAGTTCAGAAACTTTCCCCACCCCAGCCCATACCAGGACACCAACATCCGCAAGCCAAGAAAAGAGCCCTCACCAAAAACCTGTCCCTGCTGGCCCCTGATCTCATATTCCCAGCCTCCACAACTGTGAAAAATAAATATCTGTCCTTTAAATCTCCCAGTCCATGATATTTTTGCTATAGCAGCTGGAAGTTCCCTTTACCATGGAGTATAAAAAGGAAATCAAGGAAAATGCAGGTTGATTTAAAAAAGAGAATAAAAGCTATAGATCATCCTCTTATATAAATCTAAAATAATTCATTTCATGTGACTTATTTTTAAAAGCTTCCAATCAGGTTAATTTTTCTGAATACTCAAGTTAAATTAGCTCTGTGAGTATTACTAAAAAATAAGTGATCATCGAATAAGTAGTCCTCTGAAATGTACTTTCCTCCATTTGTTGCCTTCCATCACAGCTGGCACTGATAGTCCGCTGTGTGGTGAGCATGGTGGTGTGAAGTTCACAACAGATGTGAACTCACTCCCTTTATCTGCCCAGATACAGCCGGACAATACAGGTGCTGATATATTTTTTTAAGATTTATTTATTTATGCATACAAGAACTGAGGTACAGGCCAGGGGTGTGGGGGGGTGAGAGGATTCATCAGAGACAGAGTGGGGAACAGAATAGGCAGATTGACCGAAATACACTGCTGAGGGGAGCAGCAGGCGAGTCAGGAGAGGTCTGCTGTGCCATGTGGGTAGCTCCCTGGCTGGGGATTGAACTCATGCTGCAATGGCTGCGGATAGCTTCATAGGTTGCTTCTTAACCCCTTGCGCCACCAGGGAGGCCCGAGGTGCTGATATCTTCGTTCATTTCCACGCGGACATATACACGGAATCACAGGGGGTTAATGTCATCAGTGCAAGGCCAATGTCCAGCCAAATAGGTTCTCACTAGTCACGTGCCAGAACCCTCTCTCTAACAGCCAGGAAACAAGTTTTCATTTCAACCACCTCCACTTTTCTGCCTCAGTCTTCCTCACTCTCCAAAGTCAGGCTCTAATTCTAACTTCTGAAGGGAGATCTACCTGAGCATCCCCAGCCTGCAGACCTCTGGATTTGGAGTATCAATGGTCAACTTCGCTTGCTAAAATTTTGCTGCCTTACTCTCTACATCTTTTAAGTTAGATCCACCACCAACATCAGTAGTCTGAGACTAGATAGTTATGTGTGTGTTTGTGTGTGTGTGTATGTGTGTGTGTGTAGTAAGCAGTTGTGGATTGAGGGTTGTCTATGTATTTTGTTTATAATGCTTAATCTAGTGATACCATGCAGCTCCTTCTGAATGACTAGGGCTGAATTGGAGCAGGTGGTTTAAAGTCAATGCTAACAACTTGCTAATGGTTCTAATTGGTCTCTCAATGATGTGTGAATTACTCAGTTACCTGCTTTTCTTGATCTGAAAATTATGACTCTTACTTGCATCTATTTCTTTCTCCTTAGGGTATGTATTTTTTTTTTTTTTTTTTTTTTTTTTTAAGAGGCATGTATTTTTATTTATTTATTTATTTGTTTGTTTGTTTGTACATGCACTGGGTACAGTCAGAAGCGCGGGAGGGTGAGAGAATTCACCAGAGCCAGGGCAGGGAGCAGAGCAGGCAGAAGGACCGAAGTACACTGCTGAGGGGAGCAGCGGGCGGCAGGAGAGGTCTGCGTGCCATGTGGGACCCTCCTCCGGTGGCCGGGGAGCAGCCGGGGATCGAACTGGCGTCGCGGAGGCTGCG